TTTTTTAACCCCTCTAGCCCCGCTCCCTGTATTCTACAGGATAAAAAGTTTCGTATCCTGTATTCTACAGGATAAGGATAAAGGCAAATTAGGCTCATACTTAAACCAAGTTTCGCTATACAAACTTCAAGTGAGGTTGCCAAATATAAAGTTTGACAGTGATGTAGCTAACCTCAGCCCAATAATGCCTGGCCAGGATTTTTTTCGAGATTTAGAGAGCGCGCCAATTTTCGCGCCATTTGCGATTCGGACGAGTAGAAGGCAGCGCCATGCAGAAGCGAAGAATTCGTCCAGTTACGTGGACGCAACTGTGGACCAGATTAAAGAAGCTAGGGTGGCAATTCGAGCGTCCAAAAGGCCTTGCGACCAACAATCGCTACTTTACACCTGACGGATGGAAGAAACGACCGAACGGAACACATCTTGTCGACTATTTCGACGGAGCGGACGAAGTATGGCAACACGTGCCAGTTGAGGGTACGAATCGGCGCATACTGTGCATTTCTATTGCTGCTAACCGCTATCATAGTTCTCTATGACATGCCACCCGCCAAACGACATGCCTCTGCGTTCGGTGAAAGCTCTACTCAGGGTGTCCCTGATACGCCGGCCAAGACACCAGTCAAGGCTCCGGCCAAGTCACCGGCCAAGTCACCGGTTAAGTCGCCGACCAAAACGCCAGCCAAGTCGCCGCCGACCAAGGGCCCCTCGAAGTCGTCTGCCAAGGTGTCCGGCAAGCCGCCTGCTAAGTCAATCGCCAAAGCTTCTGCAAAACTGCAGACGCCGAAAAAGAAGCGTGCGCGTAAAGTGGTCGCGGCGTCACCTGTGCCGTCACCACGTCCAGTACGTGCGTGTACGGTACGTGCAGCTGACGTAGACATATCTGTTGGTGATGACCGTTTAAGCTCCGGTGACGAGGCCGACTTTCAAGTCGATGATGGCGATGAGTCTGATGTTGAAGGTACTAGTGAAAGCTTGGCGGGTGAAGATGAAGAATTTACGAGCGATGAAGAAGATGCAGTCGATCTCTCCGCTGGAACTCCATTCGATCAGATGAGCAAGGACCCGCTGAGTGAACAGGCGAAGACGGGCTGGACTACCTATTTCGAAGATTCATGTGAGTGCTTTCCTGTATTATACAGGATAACGAGGACCCGCTTACTTCTCTTATCCTGTACTAGCCACTAATGCTTGTATATCATTGAATTGGTAGGTGCGTCTCTTCAACTGCCCTCAGCAGAGCTTATTCGCTGCTCAGCGACACCTACGGAGTTGGCTACAGCACTGGGAAGTAGCTTGGAAGGACTATTTTTCCTGTTCCTGCCGAAGTCAATGTGGGTATCTGTCGCTACTGAATCCAATCGCTACCAGCTTCAGTATCGCACGCAGGCAGCAGACGAAATTATGGCACGACAGCGGCGAATCAAGCTGAGGCGACCTGGGTATAAGATGAAAACAGTACAGCAAGTCCAGACTGAACAACGATCATTCAAGCCAATTCAAGCCCATGAGCTGATACATTTCATCGGTTTACTGTGTGCCCGGACCCTTTGCCCGCACCGTGAGAAGCTGTCAAAGCATTGGGCGGTGGATGCACAAGGCGCAATTCCTAAAGGCACATTTGGGCGCTACATGGCAAGAAAACGATTCGAAGAGATTGTACGATTCTTGCATTTTAGTGACAACAGTCACGCTGACGCTGTCAAGTTCAAAACGTGGAAGATCAAGCCTGTCGCCGACACGATCAACGCAACGTTCAAGTTGGGGATGACGGTGGGACAGCGAATCGCCTTCGACGAAGGAATGATACCGATGAGGAGCAAGTACAACCCCATGCGGCAGTATCTTCGAGGGAAACCCCACCCATGGGGTACCAAGTGCTTCTTGACGTGCGATGCAGACAGCGGGTACTGCTAGAGGTAGAGAACCTCTCATTCTGCCGAAATTTGTATTATACTGGATAAAGAGTAATTGTGCTTGTTTCTTATCCTGTATAGGGCCGAGATAGACCAAGGGAAGCTCAACAGCGACAGTGCGGACCTGAACCAAGGCCCCAACGCTGTGATCCGTAACGTTGAAGAGGTGCTTGAAGGTCTACCAAGAAAGCGTCTGATTATCACCGACCGTTTCTACTCAAGTGTGCTGCTTTCGTCAATCCTTCTACAGCGCGGACTCTACCATGTCGGCACCATTCAGACCAACCGTCGCGGCTATTGCAAAGAGATCCCGTACAAGCAAGCTAGACGACCAAGGACAATGGCGAGGGGAGTGTACCGCATTGCCCAGTCAAAGGCTGAGCCGAAGCTGATCGCAGTGTCTTGGATGGACAACCGCTCTGTACACTTCATTGCGACAGGGTGTAGTACACGACCGACAACCCTTTCAAGACGTGCTGGTGCTGAAGTAGTTGACGTGCCAGCTCCTCAGCTCGTGAAAGACTATCAAGATGCCATGGGTGGAGCAGATATTCACGACCAACTGCGCTTGCAAAGATACTCAATTCAGGTATTATTCCTCATCTTCTTATCCTGTACGACACCTGAAGATATAACGAATGACTGTATCTTATCCTGTATGCTACAGGGAGCGATGAAAATGAAGAAATATTACCACACGATCTTCCTTGGGTTAGTTGACATGGCGCTCATCAATGCATACATCATCTATCGACGTGTTCAAGGCCAAATTGCACCTGGTAAAGCACCTCCGACGCACGCTGAGTTTCAACGGCTGATGCAGACGGCACTGCTCAACATTGGACCGGCGGACTTTGCAGGAGACTTGTCCGTAGAAGCACTAGCAGACACCCCGGTTTCCGCTCGTCAGCCCCACGGTATATGCTACCTGCACAACACACAACCAAGCAGGTGAACGCATTTCGTACAACGCGTGGGAAGAGCGGAAAGGTCTCACAGAAGCGTCGGCAGTACGGCTGCAAGGTGTGTTCTTTGTTGCGTCCGGGAAAGAACCCATGGGAAACCACGTTTTAC